AAAATAAAAATAAATATAATCACAGTTTTACAATCAAATAATTGTTTTGTCTTTATGATTTATACTCAAAGATAGTATTTCATAAAAATAATTGTTGTTCTTTTTTTTTTTAGCAAAATTCTGTTGATAACATTTCTCACTTTAAGTTCTCGAATTTATTATTTCGTAACCATTCTGTCACCGACCGCTGCCAACTGATAAAGAACGATTTCGTTTTTATATACTAAATATAAATTGCATAGTTTGCCAAATATTGCATAACAAATATTTGCTGATATTTGTATCTCTTATATTTAGATTTAGAAGTACGTGGGCACCACTAGAATCATTCAAAGAACAAATAACAGAATAATCTAAAAACTGTTTTAAAGAAATGAAATTAGAAAATAATACAAAAAACAAAAAGACCTTTAAAGAAATTAAATTTTTTTTTGTCGCAGGTTAGGTTTTGCGAGAATTAAATTTTTTTAAAAAATGTAAAACTTTCACGCAGATCCAATTTTTCAGTTCCTACACAACCATTTCATGGATACTAAGAAGTTCTTAAAATTTCGTAAAGAAAAAATTACGATCCAAGAAAAAGGCCGCAGTATTTAAGGGTCTTCAAAGTAATTTTATTTCTAAATATATATATACATATACATACATATAATTTTTTTATTAATTTTAAAGAATATGGATATTTAAAAAAAAAAAAAACAGAAAATATCAAAGTCCATTTGAAAAAGTTCCAACATATTTTTATTTATTTATTTTTTTGCATATATATATACAAGTGTATATATACCTATATATTTATATTTTCATTTCATTGAATGCAATCTATCAAATTTCTGATATAATCCTGAAAGAAGTTATAAACAAACATGTTTTTATTGACATTGATTTTATTACAAAGCCCAAAGTCCAAAACCTGTAAAGTTAGTTACTACTTACGAGTAATGATTGTTAAGATATCAATTTTCAGCTGACAGGTGAAAAACATTTTAAACCAATATTTTTTTCTTTCGAACAAAGTTCAATTTAAGTTACTCAGTTACAATTCACAAGAATAAAATTAAATTAAATTAATGAAATGTGTTTTTCATAATGCAGACATATTATATTTAACCAACCAAAGTACACAATTTTGTTGTGAACAAAAAAAAAAATTATTAAAAATATAACACAAATATTAAATGATAATAATTTTCCTTTTGTTGACTTTGATAAAATAATTTTATCTTTACAATTTAACATATCAGTTTGAAGTTAAAGTTTTAAAAATAAGATTTTTATCGCAAAATAATTTTAAATTAATTAAAAAGTGACTTATATCAACGATTTTGTATGAATAAAAATTTTATCAAATAATACTACATACTTCTTTTGAAAAAATACCTAAAGATATATTATTTTATATTAATTTGTTAGAAATATATTTACTTTAACTATAACTTTTACTGATTCTAAGAGAAAAACTGAGAAATGCAAGCTTAACTGCAAAATTAAAAAGGATTGATTATAAAAGGAATGATTATAAAAAAGCCTCTTAATAGTTTCCCTTATACATTAATTAAAATAAATGTTAGATGATCAATAGATTATCAATAGATTTCAATAGATAGGTAGCTCGACATTGGCGTCCACGTTTAAATTACAGGCGACACACTTAGACCTAATTAATCCCTTATGATACAACATGATCTCAGTACAACCCTTCTGTGGTTGAATCTTCTTTGTCATACAAAAAATTTTTATAGTCTTGGTAGAAAACGCCGGCAAAATAATGTGATATATGTGATAATGTTACAAACTCTTTTAATATTTGTGAGGAAAAAGAAAAAGCGTGTCCTCATCACGGCAGCTTTTTTTGAATCAATTAGTAGAAAGCCTTATAATAAATATATGAGGTCCCATGCCCCAGTGGGGGAAATCAATATAGTAGTAGTAGTAGTAGCAGTAATAAATATATAAAAAATATTTTTAGCGACTTATTATTTTAAATAGATTTTATGTTTTGAAATGAATAATACTCTGACAGCAAATAAATTTTAAATTTTATTTTATATAAGTTTGTATGTGTATGAGATGCTTATAGTTATGAACCAAATAATTATAGATTATTTTTATAAGCAAAATAAATTAAATATTTCAAAAAAATTATTAAAAAAAAAACTATGAAATCTTGAAAATACATCTTACGTTGTGTAAACTTTGTACTCAGCTATAAAATTGAAAGCACTTTTAAAAACAATGGAAGACAATTTAATATGAGTGAAAATAGCTAAAATGATTTAAAAATCAACAACAAAGTCCGTTGTTTTTCACTTGAACTATCTGACAATGTTACAGAGTACATATTTAATTTACGAAATCCAACCTAAAAGTTGCTGTGCTCAGTTATATATGTTCTTTTATTATTACATTACGACTAAAACAATTGGCAAAGACCTTTAACTATTTTTTTTTTAATTATAACATAAAAACATTTCATGATATATGTTGTTGAGTAGAAGAAAACTATACCTGATTTCCGTCTTTATATCACATTGTCTCAATTGAGAAATTATCTTATAACCTTGCTAAATCATTCATTAGCTTTGGTCGACAGCTTCATATCGTATTCTCGTATTTTTTTTTTATCAAAATGATCAATTTGGAAAA